AACAAACGTAAAAGAAGAAGATGTCACGTATGCTATTCACATCGTCAGAGAAGAACCACAAGATTCATGTGTAAAACTTGCAAAGTTGCATTACACTTGGGGAACTGTTTTGCTACCTTTTATCAAAAAAAGAAATATTAAATAAATGCGGAATTTAGTTAAATGGAGTTATTCAATAAAAAGCAGTTAATTTCATTATGTTGTCATGAATTTTGTTTTATATTTGTAGGTTTCAATAATTATCACACAAAAGGAAAATATTGTTGTATAATAATGTTGATTATTGATTTATAATAATAATGTTAATTGTTTCATGAATTTACGTAAAGTTTTTTCTTCCAAAATATTGCCGGCCACTGGCGACGTTTCACTGCACTAACATGCGGTTGTGAAAGTGTTAATGTATATATTTACCGATAATAATAATAGAATAGTTGTGCTTCACATTGGGAATTTTTCTCATATTCTCCCAGAATTAGCAACAAATCAACTTCCATGTTCCATGTTGATTCGAACCATGCTTTTCGAAATTGATAGCACGAAAGCTAGCTTAGAACTGACTAAATGAATGTGTGTTTATCTCCAAATGTACGTGTATTACGTGTAATACGTGTGTTTTTGTCTTATCTCGTACTCTAGGGCTCATAATAAGAATAAAGATTTCTGGAAGAATTACTACTGAATGTAAGAAAATAAATGTTTAAGTGTTTATAGCTTTTGATAGAAGCATTTTTTCGAAGAAATGTTTCAGATAAAGTTTACTTTTTTTTTTCGTAGAATCTAAATATGTAACATTTTATAGGAGGTTCTGCGATAAAATCAACTTGTTTTTTGCGTAGAATTCAAATATGTGACATTTTATAGATGGTTCCATTTCAAATTACGAAGTTATCTCTTGCCCCCTACCCGCCCCCCTCCTTCAAGAGGGTACGAGGGAAAATTTTGGTTTAGATATTTAGAAAGACCCCTCGAATACATTAAACTTTCTCGTGAACAACTTTTTGATACAACAAATATTTTTAGAGTTTTTGAATTGTAACACTATATGTGGGCGACCCTATATAGAGACACACACATACAAAATTCATATATAAATATTTTTTCCCTGGTAGTAATTTTTTGTGATTAGTGTAAAACATTATAACATTAATTCCATTTTCTCTAAAAATGTGCTGGCAGTACTGACAGTATTGCTTCTGGAATCACCATATTTCAGTCGTTCCAACATTTCTGGTAAACTGTGCCAACATTAAAAATTGGCACACATTTACAGTATCATACAATATCAGCAGACAATGTGCATTTATGATATGACTTATCTAAAGTATAAAGCATAGACATGATATATTTAAGTCAATATTCATATAGCTGGATTTTATAAGACCGTCTTCAGATATTATACAGCTTATTTAATTGGCTACGAAGAACCCAAAGATGAATTTAAAATGATGTTAAGGCCCGGCACGAGGCAAATATCTATTATATAAAAGTGCCGCTAGGCTACACTTTTTATTGTATCTCTGCACTTTCCCATATTTTAACTCGGAGAAATATTTGCTCATTAAACTATTTTTGGAGTCTTTCTTGCGAATACATTTAGCTCTGCACTTAGTCGGATTTTGCAATTAAGGCCCTAAAAATTTTAAATATATGAAATTACGAATTCATACTGTACCCAAGTCGGCACTTGAAGTGCAGAACGAGAAAACGAAAGTTTCTTACTAAAAAATTGATCGAAGTGAATTTTGAGGGCTTCCGAAGGCCTGAATTTTTTGTCCCGAAGAAAATTTTTTAAAGAGGAAAAAGGTAGTAGTCAGAGGGGACAAAGTTGGGAGAATACGGAGGATGAGGGAAGAACGTCATATTCGAGTCCAGCAGCTTACGGATGGATAATGATCGCGACATGAAGTGAGGCGTTATCATGGTGAAAGATAACACCACGTCTATTGGTCAGTTAAGGGCGCTTCCGTGCGATGGCAGCCTTCAGTTTGTCCAGCTGGAGGCTATATACTTCGCCGCATTGATGGTCTTGTTTGGACAAAAAAAGCTCATAATATCATCATGTCCTTATCATCATGTCCTTAAAATCTCATCAGATGCTCAGAAAAAGTTTCTTTGGGTGAAGCGCCAATTTCGAACCTTCGATACCACTTCCGAACTATCTGGTGGGTGATGCAGGCATCTTCATATATAAAGAACATGTCATTTAGAGTCTGCAAAGCTATGAATCCGATATTGCTGAAAGCAATATAGCATCACATGGCGAAAGTGACTTTTTGATTCTCCATCTTTCTACTTAATTTTTGCCGAAATGGTAACACTTAGGAAGGCCCGCGAGGTTCCTTTGACGAACTTACAGATCCGGGGAGATTTGTTGACAAATATACGAAGGTGAATCAAATATAAACCGGAATTATTTTTTTCTTGTTTAATTGAAGCATCATAAAAAAACTAACATACATAACTATTTTTCTACATAATCCCCGGACTTCGAAACACACTTTTCCAACGGGTAACCAGTTTTTTAATTCCGCTATCATAAAATGAAGGCGACTGACAGCAATCAATCGCTCACGAAGGTTTCGACAGAAGCATCGTTGTCAAATCTTTGTCCTCCAAGTGCTTCTTTCAGTGGTCCAAACAAATGATAATCGCAGGGCGATAAGTCCGGACTGTAGGGAGGGTGTTCCAGTGTAGTTCAGACTAGTTCTTCAATTTTTTGACGAGTTAAGGTAGCTGTATGGGGCCGGACATTGTCGTGAAGCAGGATAACGTCTCGGATTNCAATCGCTCACGAAGGATTCGACAGAAGCATCGTTGTCAAATCTTTGTCCTCCAAGTGCTTCTTTCAGTGGTCCAAACAAATGATAATCGCAGGGCGATAAGTCCGGACTGTAGGGAGGGTGTTCCAGTGTAGTTCAGACTAGTTCTTCAATTTTTTGACGAGTTAAGGTAGCTGTATGGGGCCGGACATTGTCGTGAAGCAGGATAACGTCTCGGATTGGAAATCCGCGTCTTTTCCGACGATATTCGCGTTTTGCTTCGTCCAAAAGTTGGCAGTAGTATGCGGCGTTCACAGTACGATGTTCGTAAAGAAAATCGACGTGCAAAATACCTTTAAAAATATAGTTGCAAGAACTTTTCCAGCTGAGAGCCGAGTTTTGGTTTTGACGGGTGCAGATTCACTTTTCTTTCGCCATTCCATACTGGCTTCTTTGGATTCCGGGATATAGTGGTGCACCCAAGTTTCGTCGTAAGTCACAATTCGGTGCAAAAAAGATTCCCCTTTGGCCTGATAGCGTGTCAATAGCCGTTCGCACACCTCCAAACGGTGCCGTTTCTGATTTTCGGTGAGAAGACGAGGGACCCATCTGGCGGACACTTTTCGAAACCCAAGGTCGTCAATAATGATTGCCTGAGCACTGCCGAAGCTTATTCCNTTATTGACGACCTTCGGTGCAAAAAAGATTCCCCTTTGGCCTGATAGCGTGTCAATAGCCGTTCGCACACCTCCAAACGGTGCCGTTTCTGATTTTCGGTGAGAAGACGAGGGACCCATCTGGCGGACACTTTTCGAAACCCAAGGTCGTCAATAATGATTGCCTGAGCACTGCCGAAGCTTATTCCGACCTCAGAAGCAATTTCAGCGACCGTTAATCGACGGTCACTCTCGATAAGGCTGCCAACCAGACGAATATTCTCCTCTGTCACGCTGGTCCTCGGGCGACGTCGGTGCCCCTCATTTTCAACAGTTTCTCGTCCTAAAAATTGTTTGTGCCACTCGTTGTGCTACACTTGAGTCTTCTTAAGCGTATTGTCCCCGAACTGTGTTTCAAACCTTCTCAATATGTCCGACGGTTTTACGCCTTCTGCAGTGAGAAATTTAATAATAATTCGTTATGCAACGGACGAAGGCACCTCCCGCTCTGACATTGTGATACTGATTAACGGAGCGCTAATGAGAGGTCGCGTAGGGGGGAATCTCCTTCAGGCATCCCCACCTATAACGTTCAGAAGCCTGGCCTCTCTCCGTTCACCTCACTGCGGGTATAAAAATAATTCCGGTTTATATTTGATTCACCCTCGTAAAATCGTCTGGACCGCTCTCGCTCTCACTGATTACCATAGCAACGCGGAGCACGCGATATTTGAAACTTTCCAAACAACTTAATGGTTTATGATGAGCAAATATTTCTCCGAATTAAAATACGGAAAAGTCCAAATACGATGGAAAGTGTAGCCTAGCGGCATTTTTATACAATCAATATTTGCTTCCTGCCGAGTCTTAAATATAAGATCTGACTAGTTGCGGTCCGATTCACGCATACAGCGCTGTGAATGTCGTTCTATCTTTTTTTAATATATAATAAACAATAAAAACCAGCCCCAGCCCAAATGTTGAGAAGTGGGAATCATGGTAGAAAAGGATGCACCGTGTTTTGTGTCTCTTGCATTCTCTCTTGCTCGCACATAGAGCAAGACGTGAATAAGAGAAAACGTAAGAAATGAAATAGTGTTCCTATAATAAAAGTTTAGACACCGTCACTGTGGCAGCCATTTCCAGCCCATAAATCAGAAGTTTACAGTAATAATACGCGAAATATTCAAATATTATTTAAATAGATGCAAACCAAGGTAAATTAATAATTAATCACAATATAAAACATACAAATTCAACTTTCTTTTAATACTCTTCATAGACTTTGTAAATGGCAAGTTTTTGCTTTTGTTGTTAACTGATCATTTTAGTTGCTTTCAAGCAAGAGACACAAGTCGACACAAGTAGACACAAGTCTAATTATATCATCATTTGTTGTCATCATATGCTTATTTCACATTTGATAAATAAAAAGATAATAAATGATACAAATAGACTTATATCGATTTTTATCTTTTACTGGGAAGCAGCCTTTGACACAACCGAAAGCTTGAGCTGAAAATGTTGGAGCTAATCAGAAATTAGACATATGATGTCCACACCATTATATTGTAGGGACTCTAGCACAAAACGGAATGCATCCTTTTTTACGTGTATCTCGACTGCTATTCTATAAATAAAGGTAAACGCTCGATTTAAATACAAAGGTTGCATTCCAAAATTCACTGTTCTTACTAAAAATTTATATATTACGTATATTATAGATTTTCAGTACTGGTAGGGAATATCGAGACATAACATATGCCTATGGTGTAAAGAACATATAAAAGTAAATTTGAAATTATGGCAAACCTAACGTTAATTTTAATGGTGCACAAAATATAAATTTTATTGAAAATAATTTTCAAGGTTCATTATCAGGTATTATGAAAATATTTCAAATGTTTTAAAATGAATAACAAAACGACAGCCATTCTCAATAAGTAAAATGTTAACAGTATGCTGGCAACAAATTCGATCAAAATTCCATAGCAAAATCATAGCCATTTGTGTCCGTATTAAAGTGCCATTTCATGCAGCGAAAAAAAACCAGCGTATTACTTCCACTCCACCGATTTTCGCCAAAGTAGCTAAACAGCGAAGGCACGCTCCAAGTTCGACATTATCCAATTAACAGCGAAGCAACATTGGAAAACGAAGTAATATAGCCTGAAAATACAAGAAAAATAATATTTTTATCGAGAATATTGAAGAATATTAATAATATAATTAAACTCTACAACTTTTATGTGAGAGTTTTAAGAGTTCCAACCTTTTTGGGACATTCTGTATATAACATACATATATTATATATCATATATGTATGAGAGAAAGGCCTAGGCTCGATATGAGCTGGAGCGCCATTGGATTGGATTAGATTGGATATTATATATCATATAATCATATATATAATGCTTAATAATAAAATATAATTATTTTTATAATCAACGTGATTAATGACACTTATTCTCTCCAAAAATGATACTTTAGTTCTTTTTTTAATTATTTACGCAATGCTTATATACTAAACAGCCAGAAAGCTAGCATCCTTTCTTTCTTTGCAGTGGCTAGGAAAGTCAGCGAAGACACGCTCTTTGAAAAGGAAGCGGGCGAACAGCGACAACTTTTCAATGCCGCTTTGCATTGCGGTGTAAAGGGGGGGGGGGGGGTAATAAACTGGCTTTTCTTCGTTGCATGAAATGGCACTTTTAAGCTCGTGTTTTATCGACAGAGTCTACTGACATGATTTGACGTCAGATTGGCGGCAGAAATCGAACAGATCCTGTTGCAAAACTGCGTGCAGCAAGGTCTGCTTGGTTTCTGCCATCAATCTGCTGACAGAGTACATCAGTAAGTTCTGTCAGATTTCTGGCTGCAATTGATAACATTGCCTTTGCATTGATAACATTGCCAGATAAAACATTCTGTATAAAATTTGTTGTCTTTCTGGTACCAAAAATGTATAGCAAACTGTGCTCAGAATCTACCTGCGCAGGTTTGGCTATCTGTTAATATTAAGATTACCCGTGGAAAATCTTATTAAGAATGTGCTTTCTTTAAGGTGAAGAATTTAAAGAACATTTAAATAATTGCCATATACATTACGAAACGAGCACTACTTCAGGATAACGTACGAAATCAGCCAAAAGTCAGCAATTCTTTAGGATTTATTTTTGTTGAGTAGATAATATGTTCTCTATTATCTTGCAGCACGTTGAAATCAATTTCGGAGTGCAAAAATAGTATTATCAGTAAGTTTCGGAATGCAACCATTAAGGAATGAGCATGACTACCATGTTAAAAATTTGTTAAAATGTTGACATTAATATGCTCTACATGCTGAAACTTATGGACATGTTGAAACTACATGCTTAGACTTTTGTTATATTGAGCAGTATAACACTGTTTCACTGTTAGAACATTCCATGTTAAATATTATGTAATGTTACATTATGTTTCTTGTTGGAAAATAGTCTTCGAAATGCCTATCGAACATCGAACATTGAACTTTCGTACGAAATTTCAACCATGGGGCTGTCTGAAAATTTGATAGAGTCTAGAACTGTGACTGTGCAGAAACAAATCTTACATCGAATTTAATTCTCAACGAGAGCAAAATTGTAAGAAGAATGTCGTTTCCCTCGGGAAAATAATCCCGACATTCTCGAACGAAAATAACATATTACGCAATGTAAGAACGCTGTTTCTTCTTCCGCGTCATACGGGCAGATGCATATGCATAGCAGAAAATTGAATAGTTTATATCCTCCTTATTAATCCTAATGTTACCATGTTACAACATTCCTTACGCACTCCGTTTTAGTCGCGTACCTTCACATATCTTTGAGAAAACCTTCGTTCTATGGGCCGCTACAGCCGTCATTCTGCATTATAATCATCGTCGTGCGAGAAGAATGAAATATACAAGGAAAAAGCAAGGACGAGCGAGCGAGCGAGCGAGAAAGAGAGAAAAAGAGTGAGACTACGACGATGGCAGCCGTGCATTTCCTCGTACACTTTTCCACGCACGCATCTGCATGTGCGTGTCGAATCCTTGCATGCGCGGAGCGGCGGAAGTTACGCACCGACGTATCTTGGACACACACCATTTCTCGCTGCAACGACACGTCAAAGCGATTTATCTCGCGTGACAGCCGTCGTTTTTTGTCCGTCCGATCGTTTGTTCTGTAACAACGAAACCGGCTGGTACACAAAAACGCCCATCTCGAAATATATTCCGCATCCTTTCATTTCAGGTGCTTCGATATCTCCCGTACACGATATCATCGCATGCTTCTTCTATCCTTCTTTCTGTCTGTCGTAGGTGCGAAGAGCCACCGAGGCCGTCCAGAGACTTTGCCAGTGCCCGTCGGAAAAGTGTTCCAAGCTGAAAGTGCGCAAGGTCGGCGAAGGCCGCTATCATATCGCTGGACGTAATGTCTTCATAAGGGTAAGCATATTTATCATTGCGATACACAGCATCTTCGAAAAATACGTCTTATTTGTTTCTTTTTTCACTATAGAACACTTTATTAGTGCAATCCCATCCTCTAAAAATAGTAATATTAAAAATTTCCAATTGAGTGCATTATATCTGAATATTCGTGCATCGTGACTGTTGATTATTCAGTCAATCGTCAACGATGCTCCAATGCAGCAATCATAATGTACAAATATTAAAATATGATAGAAATTTTCAATGCCACACTGAAAAAAATGCTATGCTGAAGTAAATATTTACTAAAGAATATTGTAGTAATTTATTTTATTTGGATTAAGAAAATATAACTTGAATGTAGCACTTTTTTTCCTCCGGTGTATTACATTCAAATAATATTTATTTAATCCAACTAAAATAAATTACTACAATACTTTTTAGTAAATATTTACTTGAACATAGCAATTTCTTTTTTCAGTATATGCCTAGAGAATGGGACTAAACCAGTAACATTAGCAAAAAACTAATCATTATAAATAGGACCAGAGCATGAAAAACCATATTGGATATAAAAAACACCCTGCAAAAATCAATTTTGCAATACATTTTTATAAACAAATTATTAAATGTTAGCCATAGAACAAAACTAATTACGCCAATCAATTCTATGGAAAAAATTACACAAAAACATATATCACTTTTTTTCTTAGTCTCCCGTTTATACAAAAAAAAAAATAAACATTACGGTTTATTGAAAGTCGTTCTAGCTCAAGTTAAATCAAGATTAGCAAAAAACAATAATTGGAAATAGAAGCATAGGAAAACATTTCAAACATATAAAATGCAAATTACAAAAATCAATTTGCAACTATTGTTTAGAGAAAAAGATTTAAAATAAATTTTTATTGTTTCTTTCTGCGAATTTGAAAGAGAGTACTTTTCTTCGTGAGTCTTACAAATATATTTTTTACATTTTGATAATATTTATAAGTTCTTTTATTACATTTATGTCAGAAATGTTTTCCTATGTTGCTATTTCCAATTATTGTTTTTTGTTAACCTTATTGATTGGGCTGGAGCGACTTTCAATAAACCGTATTATTTAATAATATATTTATTATTTTACGTAAACGGAGGATACTGCGAGGAAAAGTGATATATATTTTTTGTGTAACTTTTTCTTTAGAATCGACTGGCGTAATCAGTTTTGTTGTTTTGTTCTACAACCAACATTTAATAATTTGTTTATAATAATTTATTGCAAAATTGATTTCTGCAAAGTGCTTTTTATATACAATATGGTTTTTCATGCTCCGATCCTACTTGCAATTGCTGATTTTTGCTAACCTTAATAGTCTAGCCATAAACCGGAACGATTATAAGAATAGTTTGATCTTTGAAATTAAAGACATAATATCGAAAGCGGCTTTCGGATGTGATATATGTAAATAGTGCTTTAACTTCAACCATTTTAGTTTCGATGCAGTCAATTTTTTTCTGATCGTACACACAGAAATAAAACATTTAGTCCCTGCGACTGACAGATGAAAACTTAGTGACAAAAAATGATATTTCTGTTACCATGATTGAGAACATTTGTGTAAACATTCAGCTGCATTAAAACTTGGTTGAGACAACCGAAAGCAACTGATTGAACAGAAGCCATTTATAGGAATCTTTCTGTTCCGATCCGATATAACTGAATTTTCGTTTATTTCTCAGGTAACAGAAAATTCAGTTATATCGACGGAATTGTTCTTTCCCTGCATGTATGTCATAGGTCATGTTTCGATTAACATGTTAAAATTTGAAAAAATTCCTAAGAAAATAAGTTTACGAATCAATTACCTTGAGATCTCTCGCAAAGAGTGGTATTCCCGAATACTCTCTCTCTCCTCCCTCCCCTCTCTCTTTCTATCTCTTCTCGTATCGCGGTAATCTGTTATAATCGCACCAGCTACTAATGACCACATTGCTAACGTGTTCGCAGCTTCTCAAAGGGAGACATATGATGGTGAGAGTGGGCGGCGGGTGGGATACCCTGGAGCATTTCTTGGCGAGGCACGACCCTTGTCAGGTGAGGGTCCTCAATCGCGAGAACACACCGCCACCCGCTCACGGAAACAAGCACGACAGCTTCCTGCACATTCGCGCCAAGTACCGCAGCCCACCGTCGGAGCCGACTTCGCGTCGGTCGTTAGCCTAAGAGCACGTAGTGCTTAAACATGCGCCCATACATTCATGCGACTCTCTCTCTCTCTCTCNCTCTCTCTCTCTCTCTCTCTCTCTCTCTCTCTCTCTCTCTCTCTCTCTCTCTCTCTCGATCCCACACACGTCGCATATAAATTGCTTGTACGCATGGCGCACGTGCGATTCAAGCATCATGGTCCTTATACGACGCGCCGCTGTATCTCGCGTCTCGCATCTCATAGCCAATAATAATCCCGACTCGCGGAACACAGATCGATAGAGCAAGCGTGTACAAATGCGATGCGCCGCGTGCTGCTAAATGACGCGACGAAAACGCGGCCCAGCGGTTCGAATTACCCGTAGAGGTGCGTAATTTGCGCGACTCTCTCGCATATGATACATTCCTCCTCTCTAACTACTCTCAGTGAGTTGGCGACTTTGAAGGAGAACGACGACAGCTTGCTGCGGTTATACTTGTGCCGTACGCGAGAACACACATACACATTCCAATATATTCGTAAATCTGTTCGCGAATTCGCTGGCGAAAATCACGCACCGCCTAAGCCAATTTGTAACAATGCCTCCTCTTTCATTTTCTCGTATCTATTGTATATCTCGAATCGTGTCAAGTGCAAGTATGTTTATGGTATATATATATAATGTGTCAGTCACGGATGCACACAAATCACACTATTTTTACTACGTCGTAAAGAGTGGTGAAGTAGTATGTATGTATGTCGAAATATATTTCCGTAGACGTCGTAATACGCTGCTGCGGTTTTTGAGGTAACCAATACCTCGGGTAACAAATAGCCCGAGTTCTGTATAAGTGATTCCAAATGGTCAAGGAAGGTCTTTGGCTGTTCCTTGTTAATTGCACACATATTGACCCATGATGTTCTTGAGTTATTTCTCCAAGTTCTAATAATGTATTCAACGTCTACTTGGAAGTTCTTCGGCAGGTTTTAAGAAATGTTATGCACTTGGTAGTGGTAGTGTTAAAATCGCAATGACCAAACGTTACTTTCAAAACCGTATTATGATATAACCATAATGCTAATAACATGATAATAATAATAATTTTTAGATAAAGATCCATTAAGCTTAGAGCTTAGAGCAAGAGAATATAAAAGTGCAATTAAAACCTCAGGTAGGATATCGCCCGCGTAAACGTGTCACGCCTTAACAGAAAGAATCAATGTATTTTTTTCTTTTCAATGGAATTTTTTTGCTCAGTATGATTTTTTCAAATAACTATCACTACTAGTTATATGAGTGTTTTATAGCTCATCTGGATCTGTTATTGTTCTATTCAAGATTTAAATATTTCTATACCCACCATTTAGCAATTCTGTTTTGGTCATTGCTATATCTTACAAATTAATATATTATTATAGCGTGCTATCATATTTTGTGACGCGCAAGCATGAGATTTATATAATAATAATATATAATAATAATAATCACGTGAAGTCGGCCTGATTTTTTGTATATTAAACTTAATAGTTGATATATAAACTGATTTAAGAACCATTTTCTTATAGAGGAACCTATTAAATTCGATTAACTGACTTTCTGAGTTTCAAAGTTTGTTTCACACATTCGCATAAGTTACACTGTGCTGTTACTCATGAGAGTCAATTAACTATACTCATAAAAAATGTGACACAGCTTAGCACATCTGTTTGTTTTAAAAGACTTGAATATATATATAATGTTTGCTGTCACTTTTTTGCTATTCTATTATTTTTTTGTCATTATACGGTTCTTATTCTAACCGGTCCTAAGAGTTCTTCGTTTAATGTTTTTTTATCATTATACGGTTCTTGTTTTAACTGATCCTAAGAGTTATCGGCGCACTTTAAGCATTCGATCAATATCTAATGCTAGTAGTATTGCCTAATATGTAAAATGCTACATAGTAATTACCACGATGCATATATACATATATTTATATATATATATTTATATATATATATGTTTTGTACTTTTATATAAATACCTAGGATAGGGGATGTTGTTGGCGAAATCATTAAACCGTCTAATTATTTGGCTTACAGAAATGCAAGGGTACAATATGCAAAGGAATACCAAAGCAAAGAAACACGCGACGAATAATGTCGGCTCGTTGAGGCTATCTAATTCATCATTCGTGATCCGTTCGTTGTTCATGTTGGACTGCGCTATGGAATGTTATTATTACGGTAATCGGTTCATCGCTTTCGATTATCCTTTGCGAGATAGAGTCATGCAATTTGCACTGTAATATAAGGATAAGTTTAACGAATTATCATCAAATATGCATAGGGCCTTCCGTTACACACCTACAATTACTCGTGAAGTTACTTCTTACACATAACTAAACCGCCTTGCCTAATTAATGCAATTTCGCCATATTATGTAACTGTAAATACGTCGCTATGATGTGTGGAAAACAGTTAATTTAAGTTAACCGTACCTGCTTTATACACAGCGTTAATATTTATTAGCGGATTTTGCATATTAGTTACATATATATTCTATGTGTGTAATACAAGTTGTTAATTTATATTTTGTCAACCGTCTTTTTATCAGAAATTAAATAAGAGACGTTTGAACTTTTCGGTATGCGCAAATATAACAATGCACATATCGTAGAAAGTAGAAGAAATTATATTTTGATGATATTGTAATATAATCAATTTAGTTGGATTATTGTTTATAATAAGGCGTTAAAATAGTCTAATCGATATATACATATTTTTAAATGGACTACCATTAGGTACCGTTTCATTGTAACGATTCGACTATTAATTAGCATTGTAACAGCATTATATCGCGCATATTCAGCTTTTTGTTCGTAATAATTGTCCTAAACTTTTGTAAGTTTTAAGATTTTATTATGTATACACATATGTACACACACACACACACATATGCATGCATGTATGTGTGTGTATATATATATATATATATATATATATATATATATACATACATCTATACATACACACACCACACACACACACATTTGGTTTCAATACAGTTTGTTCGTTCTTTTCTCGATGCAGCTTGGAATGCAGTTAATAGGCCAATAACAGATCTTGTTTTTGATTAATTCTCAGAAATTTAGTTGTCTCATTGGATTATCAGTTACGTTTCAAATTGCATTAAGAAAAAGATGTATGAAACCCACAAACATAATATATAGACCGAGCGTTTGCCTTTATTTGAATAGCAAGTGTTAAAGTGCACGTGGAAAAGGATGCACTTTGTTTTGTATCCCTTGTGTTCTCTCTACCATGCGTGTTTTATGCATGTGTCTGTGTATGAACAAGAGGGACACCAGGGATATAAAATACAGAATGCATTTTTTTTTATGTACACTTCGACCCCATTCCTCAACACTCGGTCTAGATATCTTATATCTATGATCGAACCATATTAAAATCAAATGTATTTCGGATATGACATCACCGTAATTCAATTTACATTCGATGCTATTATATAGGTTGTTATATTTTGTTGAATAATAAAACTTTTGACTGTAATCTTGAAAATGTTACTGGTTACTGGAATGTACATCACGCATAAAAAAATGAATCATTTTTTCCGGCGTACAAATGACATTTGTGCCCAAGTAGAACAAAAAGTTATATAAAAGTTAAAATAGCATCAAGATAAATGTCAAAAAGCAAAGTTGGGAAAATTAATTTTGAAAAGTGTTTGTTATTACTCGTTGCTCATTGAAAAAAATAACGTGTTACTGTTGCTCGTTATCCATTGAAAAAAATAAATAGTTACCGTTATCGTTGCTTAAGACTACCTTTTTTAAGGCTACCTTTCTGGTGGCTATATTGTTTTATGAAGCAGAAGCGAGAAATGACATGCAGAAAGTTTCTTGCAACATATAGCTTTATTTTAAATTTTCCTTGAAAACTGTGCAACATATAGCTTTATTTTCAGTTTTCCTTGAAAAACATAATGGTTCCGTAATCCTAAAATCTGTAAGAAGTATAGGAAACTGAGATATCCAGCTTATATGTTATGTATCATAAAATAATTCCTGAAATAATACTACATTTTTCACTTATTCTCAGCTGTCACAGTGATTTCTGACTCAACTATCACATTTAATTTCTTGATTCCATTATGTGTATCACCACTATAACTGAGTTTCCTGTTCATTTCACACCTATAAGGATCGTGATAAATATAGGTATTTCACAGAGAAACTGAAAAATAACGCGATAAGTTGTAAGAAACTTTACGATATGCTAAACAATGCTTAGTATTTGTTTGTAAGTTCCGACTTTTTCCAACCGCGGCGCTACCACTAGAATTGCTAACTTGGCCTTAGCTTTATCGCGTCAATAATACTACTAATAGTATAACGTCTCATATGATAGGTGAATCTGTAATAATACATTATCTCACATCAATCAGTGTGATGTTGCCAGATGTTTGACAATCGACGTTGTTAGATGCGAGATTGAAGTATGCATGATCCTCCTGCTCCCTTATTCTATATTTTGTAACGAAAATTGCGTTATTGCTATCGTTGCGTAGCTATTTTATGATATATTTTGTCTGCACAAAGATTTATAACGCACGCATTATGCTTGTAATGCATACGTTAAAAGTTACAGAATAAGAGCGCAGAGATAAATTTCTATCGCTGACCGCTTTTACCACGCGTTTGCGCTCATCTTTTTTCCACTTTTGTTATTTTTGTTTTTTTTTTTAATACACATAAGAAGAATAATTAAAAGTCGACATAAGCCAAAATTGCGTTTTTATATTTATGGATACAAATAGCATGATGTTATAATGAACCTTTTATATCTCAGACAATATAATATCTAAAATCGAAACGTAAAACGTTTTAAAAATGTCCGTAAGATCTTACAAATATCTTTCAGATACCTTATATCCCGATTTCAGATATTATGTTGTGTGGGATCTTTTTTTGACTCCATATTTTAATTGCAATCTGTCACACATAAACAATTTTTGTGTGCATATAACGTCTTGCATGATGTATGTCCGCTGGCATATCCAAAGTTCTTTATAAGATTAAGTTTTGTCGTATTTTTTTTTTGAATTTACGGATATACTTAAGTATGTCCATTAGCATTGCAGTTAGTCTATTTGGATGACTCCGTATCCTTATTTTATATTTTTCGGAAATATTTCTTACTTCATCTTTTATTGTTGATCGTTATCCCCAGATTGTTCTGTATTAAGTTTTTTTTTAGGACTACTAGTCTCCAAAAGACTAACTAACAATTTGTCTCTATCCTAAACGTCTACCAATAATTTCCCCGGAATCATTACTCAATGGCTATATACTCTCTCGCCTATTTATCTGCACTTGTGCCCTTAATTAGTATTTATCAGGTGTACAAATTAATTCGATGTCTTTATATTTAACGTCTTGTAACTCTGGTTTAAATTAAAATTTTTTTCCCATCCTATGATGATTTGAAAATGCTAACCTTAAGCTTTAAGAAGCATTATAGTAGTTGACGGCTTTGCCAACATAACCTCAGAAAACATTATAACGATGTTGTGCGAAAAAAGGAGCATCTGAAGCATTACATCCTTTTTGCATTCTAGTTGAACAAAAATATTGCTTAGTTTATCGAAATGATTTGTTCCGCTTTGGGTGAAGGTGTTGTGACCCATAAAACTTGTAAAAAGATATTTTACGGCAAAGAAACTAGACAGGCGATTCTGCTGCACGATAACACTTGACCATATACCGCAAAAGGGACAAAGAATTTCATCTATACATTAGGCTGGGAAATTCTCCCTCATGTGGATTATTCTCCAGATTTAGTCCCGTTAAATTACCACCTATTTCGGTCGCTTCAACATCATCTAGCGGATACGCATTTTAAAACAGTTAAGCAGGTCCAAAAAAACATTGATGACTTTATTGAGTCAAAACCGCCAAGTTTTTTCCGTGAGGGCATTCATCAGCTGTTCAATAGATGAAGTAAAGTCAAAGAAAATAATGGAAATTATTTTGAACATTAAACTTGTATTTGACTTTTTATAAATAAACTTTTAATTTTATGAAAAAGGACGCCGAATTAATTTGTACACCTAATATATTAGTGGCTTTTTCCGCTTTAATCTCTTGATTTGTTTCTCATAATTCAAAAGTTTAATAGTTTTGATATTTACGTGTTCGCGTAACCTGGCTTCGTATTTTTGAACAAATCGCTGTATTTCTTGATTTACAGTCTCTATCTTAAAGTTTCAATGGATGTCCTTATTTCTTATGCACCAAAGAGCGTTATGTTCCTTAACATCTTGTTTTGAAATCTGTCTTATCGATGTTTATGGGTTTAGTATGAGAGTGGTCCCTGAAGTACCTGACCCAACAAAGAAAACACAAAAATTTTGGAAAAAAATGTATTTATTTTTCAACATAATCTCCTTTCAACTTTATACACTTTTCCCAGTGTTGTTCAATAAGTTCGATACCCTTTTTATAATAAGAACTGTCTTGCTCCTCAAAATAGTCATTAACTGCCGACATCACTTTTTCATCGTTGGAAAATCTTTGACCACTGAGCCATTTTTTCAAGTTTGGGAACAGAAAATAATCCGAGGGGGCGTTTGTTGCTGTGAAACTTCGCTAAACACTCAATTGAAACATTTTCACGACACTGTTTTTGCTCGAGTGAGCAAACGCGGCACCCATCTTGCACACAGTTTTCTCATGTCCAAATTTTCAGATAATATGCCATGTACCGCACTTTTCGAAATGCCTACTATGTCTGCTAGCTCGCGCACTTTCAATCGACGATCATCCAGTACCGCTTTGTGGATTTTCTTCACCATTTCTGGAGCCGTCACCTCATTTGGTCGACCACTGCGATGCTCGTCTTGGCAGCTCGTACGGCCTCGTTTAAACTCTGCTACCCAATTTTTACTGTTGTAAACAAAGGAGCAGACTCACCCAGAGTAGAATCCAGTTCAGCTTTTATATTGGTTGAGCTGAGGCCTTTCAAATAAAAGTATTGTATCACATAACGATGACCAATTTTCTCCATTTTCACAAATTCACTGAAAACGTTCACTATTGATGGCTGCCAAACAAATACTAAACAACGTGGCGTCTTCAAACTTGAAACATATGCTTTATAGATTGTGTACTTTCTAATACAGTGATATTTTTCAAACAACTACCGCCATCTCTAGGTCAGGTCGGGTACTTCAGGGACCACCCTCGTATATCCCCAGAGTTGAATTCCATATATCTGTACCTAAAGCGTTTTAGAACTTGCTTATAAATCAGCAATTTTTATATATTGTTAGCTTGGACTTACGCCTTACTATTTAATACATTTTCTTATATTTTACCCTTCGTATTTTTTTGATGTGCTTCTTTCAACGTAGTTGAGTATCCAAAATTATGCCTAAATAGTTAACAGTGTTTGAATACAGAACAATCGTTTTATTTATACATATTGGTATACGAGGTCTGTTCAAAAAGTATTGCGAATTTTGAATTTCCGCCGGTTAAGTATATTCGATTTTCGATTTTTTTGTGGCGTTATGTTGGTACTCATATCCTTCACTTATGCCGACAAGTTCGGCCATTTTGAATATTCAGTTTATCTTTGACAGCTGTTTTGCTTGGACGTGTTTTGGCTTGTCTTAGATTTTTGCCTATTCCAAAAAATGGATCAAAGAATCTAACAAAATTAAGTGCGCGGACGCATTCCGAATGTTGACTGTGGCATATGGTGAAGCTACCTTGGACCGAAGCAACGTTTATCGGTGGTACAAAATGTTCTCAGAGGGCCGAGAAGATGTGAACGACGAAGAGCGTGCCGGACGCCCGAGCACGTCAACAACAGACGAAAACATTGATGAAGTGAAGAAAATAGTATTGGCCAATCGTCGAATCACCGTTAG